ACGTAAGAGACATAGAGATGAGGCTGAAGAGTATCCGACCACCAAGAATGGACGGTATCTCCACTGAAAGCCAAGGTCCTCAACCCCCGTAATCCTTGAAAGGAAGAGGAGTGATGTCGAATGGAGAAATATTAAATCCATCAGTTGTAAAGGATGTGGATGGAAGTGGTCGTGGCCTGATTTAAGATTTGCCTTTGGAAACTTATAGATGTTTTGAGGTAGGGATTGCATAAACAGTACTCGGCGAGATCGCGGGCGGTCGACATGTTCATTTCTGACATCGTCGCGGCATTCTCTTCAAAAAAATTGGAAGGCTGCCGTAGTCCTGTTAGCGTATCTATCCCTCTCCAGTAGATTCCGCGTCATCTCCGTGATGCGCTGGTCAACGTGATCCAGCACGGGGGACGTCGCCTGCTTGCTGATCCTCTCGAGTTGCTCGACAAGGCTCGGGTAGTCGGCATTGATGTCGTCAGTAACGTCGAACGCCTCTAGCTGGGCCAGCCTTGCCTTCAGTGGGTTCAGATGAATCTCAAAGGCGATGGTCGCTACCGCAACAGAAAGACGGGACGACGGCGACATCCGACACAGCGTGGCTGTTTAAAAAAAGGTCGAGTTCGTGGGCGTACTGGCCGTCTGAACTGACGTGAGTTCACCGCTTCTTCGATGGCTTCTGGAAGAAGCTGTTCTGTCAAAGAGACGGTGGGACTCACAGAAGACGGTCAGACACTCTCCAGACTTGTTGCGTGTTTCGTCGGGGTGTGAGCCGATATACGACTCTCCGGCCCGCCTCGGGCCGAGGCGCGCGTTGAGGTCACCGATGACGTACTTGTAATGATTGCGGTACTCGCGGACGGCGTCACTCAGGTCGTCGTAAAAGTCGGCATGCTCCTGGACATCGACGTCTAGGGTAGGTGGGTACGTCTGAATGAGCGGGCCGGTGAATGGGGCGGAAATGACAAACTCGAGGACGGCGAGGTGATGACTGATCACGCGGAAGTTTTGGACGCGATGCAGAAAATAAGGATCGACGACAAAACTGACTCCTCCTGAGATAGAACCTTCTTGTCGAGGGCTGATGCCCCTGATGTTAAACTTCATGCGACGACACTCGTTGAGGAGGTTTGAGAGCTGTGCCCGGCAACACAAAGAACGGGCGTTATACGTGCAGACGTAGATCAACTCTTCGTGTCCGGTGTGAACGTTGTAACCATTTTTCTTCCTTTTTGGGTGATCGCAGGGTCCGCTACGATGTGGCTGGTAGAGATTGTTGGGTTCTTTGCTCTGCTCAGCTAGTCGGTATGCGTCGACTCCGTCTCATTTGGTGTAACGGCCAGTTCGTAACAACACGATTAAACACTTGGATTGATTGGGTAGAACTCTCTATTTATTTAGGAGCTGCATGATCGTTGATCTACATACGCCGATCCCACGTCAGGCATCCAAACACTTGATGTTGAATTCTTTACAGATTCCACACTTCTGACAAATACATAGCCACCTTCGTACACACGTACTTATATTTGCAGCTTTCACTCGGTCTCCTCTCTCATACACTGACTACTCTATCCACTCCGTTCTTTCTGCTGTACGGTAATGCAATGCAAATTAACGTAATATTGTATAATGTATTATACAGTATAATTTAATTTGGTATAATACCCTCTGCGGCCAAAATAACCCCTTTTTATACCGTATACACCCTTACGGTTGGGCCATCAAAATCTCCCACTTCTCCCAAAAGGGAAATGTAGCCTCAACTCCTATTAGTGTGGGTCCAGGTTCGGTTCTAAGGACCTCCCCTTTCCCAACAATCCTCAAGGAGTTTCTCTCACAGTGTTAATTGTAAAGGGCGTTTCCAATGAGTGGCCAAAATTTACTTAGGCCAAGTGTAGGTGATTTTATGTACGAGGGAATTCCCAAATCTGGAAATTCCTAAACCCCTCTTCGTTCCCACGCACTTCACACCCTGCTATACCACATATAACCATATGTGCATTCCGACCCCGCGCCTACAACATGCCCAAAACGTAAAGGAACGTCGGTTCGAAGGGCGTCCCCCTTCCCACCGATCTTCAGGAGTTTCTCCCACACTGTCAATTTCCCAAAGGGCATCGTTAACGAGCGGCAGACCCATTTAGACCAGCAGCAGGCAATTTTATGTACAAGTCTGGAAATTCCTAAAACCCTCTTCGTTCCCACGCACTTCACACCCTGCTATACCACTTATAACAAGATGTCCATTTCCGATTCTAAGCTTACAATATTCCAGAGTATAAATTAAATACAAAGAAATCACAAACTGACAAAATAAAGCATGACAATACGTGGCTAATGCAACAACAAAAAACCTTAAGACCTATCACACAAGAGTTGCGTTTCTTACAAGTACAAAAAAAATCAGCATTGATGAGCGGTTACAACGTGGTTGTTGCCGTGTTGGATTTGTAAGGTCCGTGTCTGAATAGTAGCCTGTTAGCCCGAGATAGTATAGCTTCTTCCCTTTGCTTTATCCGCGCTAAAGTACGGAGCAGGAAGTGGTTGCGGGGGACTGAGGCGTGGGTTGATGCTGGTCGTAGCCAATATGTGTGCCACCTTGGGAGGCTGGCTGGGCCGTTCCAAGGGCAGGGGTTTGCGCCCCTTGCAGACACTTCCTGTGTTTGCCGGCATTGATGAACCATTCACGGCTTGGTTGAACCTGCCCGGGGCTGACCTCGAAAGACCATACATCGTACATCGCGTTAAATCTCCCGTTACATCCGCTCACCACGCTGTAGTACAGGTATGATTTTGAGGGGGGCGAATTACGTCGCGACTTCGCATCGGGAAGGAGATGCAACACTTCCTTTCAAGTCTTTTCCACTCATCGCGTCTACAGACCTCCCCGCCCGTTGACACCATCCTGCGCTGTACCGCCTTTCCTCACATCAGAGGTGCAGTCAGCAGTGAAAGGCATCCGGCGAGGAATAGCTCCCAGATCCGAAGGCATCACGGCGGAGCTCCTCAAGCCCTGCGGTTTCCCACTCCAGACGGCGCTCGCCTAACGCTTCTCGCGATACCTCCCCGATAGGTCCCCGAAGCCTGGCACATCTCGCACACCATCCATCTCTTCAAGAAGGGCGGTCGCGAGGACCTCTCCAACTACAGGCCGACCACTGTCCTCCCCATCATCTACAAGGACTTTACGCGGTGCGTACTTGCTCGCATCCGTGGAACTTTGGAGGAGGCGCAACCTGTAGATCAGGCGGGCTTTCGACGCTCGTTCTCCACGATGGACGACATCACCACTATCCACCGTCTCTTGGAGACAAGCCGGGAACACCAGATGCAACTCGTACTCATCGACTACGAGAAGGCATTCGATAGCGTCGAACCCGAGAACGTCTGGGAGTCGCTGCGGCAGCAAGGAGTAGGGGAGGAGTAAGTCTGCATTTTGCTGGCTTGCTACGACTGCTTCTCTACCACGCTTATCCCTTACCAGAGAGAGATTGTGGTGCCAGTGTAGAGGGGCTTCCGACCTCATCGCCCCGTACCTCTTCTTAGCGGTGCTGGAAAGCGTGATCCGCCGATGTTGCTGGAACAATCAAGGCCAAAAAGAATCGCTGCTGAGTCGGCCACCTGCTTGTTGAGCAGATTCTCTCGCCGCCGAGCACATCAGGGACACACGTGGCCATACTACCTTTCATTGGACGACTCAAGCACGTGACAGAGAGGAATGTAGGAGAAGCTGTGGTCCTCGCGTGAGCTGAAGAACGGATCGCTGAAGTGCTAAATGCTTTAGTAACTGAGGGAAACGAGGACAAAGCCATCATAATAGCTGCACTCTGAGCCAAGATTCTTGCCCATAGCCTCCGGAATGAAAGCAAAAGGAATGATAATCAACTGATCACGATGTTTGGTATAATCAGGCATTGGCTTGTATTGAACACATTACCCCTTTAATTACATTGTGAAACAAGGATTTCAAGCATTATTTTGTGCATATATAATAGCTTTAAACTAACATTCAGAATAGTAGCCGTCTCAGGGTAAATGAGAGGATATTTCGCTTTTATAAATAACAATAACTTATTAAAGAAAGTTTTTACACATTTCTTTTAAACACAAGTAAATAATGCTGTGGTATAAAGTCATATATGAGAAACCGTTAGTCGCTGATGTCGTCTAGAGCATCATGCATTCCGTGAAACATGAAGACCTATTATGTTTTATAAGAGGATATAAAGTGTTAAAAAATTATATACACAAAAAATAAATTTTTCTATTTTTGTAAAATTATAAGGGGTGCAGCAGCTCTACAGTTACGTGCGCCAGTTAAATGGCAGACTTGGCAGTGCGGTGTTGAAAGCGAGTTATGTCATAATAAGGTGAAGATTTCTAAAGCGTCTGTGGTTTCCATTGTGATAAAACGTGGCAACTGTGATACAGATTACTGTTGAATTAACTATGTGTATTTGTTGCCTTGGTTTCTATTTTACGAACGTTTGAGAATTTGGGTGACTATGAATCATATTTGCGCAGTAGCATACTGCATTAACTTCTCCATGTCTTCATTTGTGGTGTGGAATATACTGATGGTGGAGGCAGCATAACTTCTGAAACGTAGACGTCTACCCTCTCTCTCTCTCTCTCTCTCTCTCTCTCTCTCTCTCTCTCTCTCTCTCTCTCTCTCTCTCTCTCTCTCTCTCTCTCTCTCTCTCTCTCTCTCTCTCTCTCTCTCTCTCTCTCTCTCTCTCTCTCTGTGGCCACCGGTTAAGGACTTTGGTTAGGGAGCAGTAAATATTACCTACTAAATAAAACTCTGATTACAAAAGCTACATTAATATTATCATCTAATTTT